AAAAAAAAAAAAACTTCTTGTCATCTGTATCATAAGATATCAGCTGAAAAATGTAGGAAAATGCACTTACATTGTTCATTGGGTCAACAACTGGAGCAGAAGCAATTTGCATCCAATTAATTACTCCATGATTCAATCTTCCAGAGTAAAAGCTATCTGGCCAAGAGTACATGGGCCTCAAATGTTAGTTAGCAAAAGTATCCTTGAAGTTTAGTCTAATTGCAAACAACTCCACCTACCTTTACAAAACACAAACACCACCCTTGATAAATTTAACAAATTTTTCTTTGAAAATACGTAAGATACTAAGATCAATTTTTTCTGTAACTACAGTTTTATTGATTCTTTGAAAACACCACTCTTCATGTTGGGTTTTTATTTCTCCAAGCCAATCTTAGTAAGAAATGGTAAAGAATCAATAAAACTGAAAATATATTTTATTTATTTCCGAGGCTTGTGTTGTTGATGTGTGTTTTTTAACAGGTTTTGTTGAGTTCAATCTATATTTTTTTTTCAGTATGTTCTCTCTTTTCTTGTTTTTGCTCTTGAAGTTGTTCATGATGTTGCTATGAGAATTCTAACTGTAGTTATCCTTATGTTATATTTGATGCACACAAAATTGTTTGGATAGAATCACTTATTGTACCTTTATATCGATGATGTGTCTTATGTTGCTAAGATATGGTTGTGAGTAAAATTATTTCTCATAAATATCCCTCTATTTAAATTGCACAATTTGTTTTCAATGTTACCATTGAAACATTGTTTCGGTTTTGATGTTCACACTTTATGTAGTCGTTTATTTACATTATTTACTTTCAAATTTTGTTGTTCAACGCAATGGTGGAGTTATCTAGGAGAAGGACTGAACTTCTCATTTTAATTGAAGAAATCATGAATGTGACTACCTTTTTCATGAATATGGTTGTTGCCATACGTAAGAAACAAAACGATGATAGGGGTGAATTAGTTTCAAAGCGCATGAAGTACACAATGTCTAGTAGGATTCCGAAACAAGTAGAACATTTAAGCAGTTTGGTTGCAATGAATGAGGTAGATTGTTTAGAAAACTTGAGGATGACAAAGGGAGCCTTTGCAAGGCTTTGTTACCTTCTCCGTACTTCTGGTGGATTATCCGATTCCAAGTACGTGTTTGTTACAGAGAAGGTAGCTCTCTTTCTGTCAATTATAGCTCATCATAAGAAAATCAAAGTGGTTAAATTTGACTTCAAGAGGTCTAGTCAAACTGTAAGCATCTATATACATGAGGTGCTTTTGGCGATTTTGCGTCTACATGAGATTTTGTTAGTAAAACCAGAACCAGTTGATGATTCAAGCAACAACAACAACAGATGGAAGTGGTTCAAGGTACTTTCAATATCATAAAATATAAAACCAATTTTTTAAAAAAGCAAAGAGAAGCAATACAATAAAAGTTGATTTCATCTTCTTTATAAACTAACACAAATATGTTTGTTTTAATAGGGGTGTCTAGGTGCTTTAGATGGAACGCATATCAGAGTGACAGTTCCTGAAATAGATAAAGCGCGGTATCGAACGAGAAAGGGTCAGGTTGCGGTGAATGTACTAGGCGTAGTAGATCGAAATCTTAATTTTGTGTATGTGTTGTGCGGTTGGAAAGGGTCTGCGGCCGATTGTCGTGTGCTAAAGGATGCAATTCATAAAACAAGAGGGCTGAAAATTTCTAGAGGTATTCAGAATAACTTTTTCAAGGCATTAAGAATTAATTAAAATCGAGTAATTAATAAAATACTTCATAATTCTTGTAGGTAACTACTACTTATGTGATAATGGTTATACAAATGGTGAAGGATTTTTGACCCCATACAAGAATGTCCGGTACCATTTGAAGGACTGGGGTGAAGGGAGGCTTACACCACAAAACTCTCAAGAATTTTTCAACATGTGTCACTCCAAAGCAAGAAATGTAGTAGAGAGGTCATTTGGCATTTTGAAAAAAAGATGGGCGATCCTACGAAGTCCTAGTTTTTACAACATTAAAACTCAAAACCGAATGATAATGGCATGTGTACTTTTACATAATTTCATCCATCGTGAACTTCCAATTGATCCTATTGAGGTAATGGTCGGCGAAGATGAGCAAAATGACGTTGAACAAGACCAGCAATTGGACTTCATACAAGCTGTAGAGACCTCGAATGAGTGGTCTGTTAGGAGAGATGACTTAGCTAATTTAATGTTCAATGAGTGGAGATGTATTTAGTATGCTACCACGTTAGGTTTTATTATGATTTGCACTTTTATTTGTTTTTGCGGTAATGACAAACTTTTTCGAACCCCATGGATAATGTTTGTAGTATGACTTTCAGTGTTGGAGTTTGTTTAATCTCTTTGAATGTGTTGACTGTTTTTTTAAGAATGATGTGCTGCTCAATAATAGTTGTTTCTATTCCTTGTTGTTGTTTGATAGTATATATCTTTGTTTTCAATCTTAGCCTTAACTGTAATAAAGTCAATTGGATGTAAACTTCATTTCATTGTTGCTCCTTTTTTCGTGGTTTCAATTTTTTCCTGTAGTAAACATGCCAAACATTGGGCAAGGGAGTGCAAAAACTAGACGACCACGTCCTGAAAAAAGTAGACGCAGCTGGAGTAGACGAGAGGAAGAAGTACTAATTTCAGCTCTTAAAGGAATCATAACAACTGGGTGGAAATCAGAGAATGGCTTTAAGACTGGGTTCTTAAATGTTCTGGAGCAGGAGTTGGTCAAAGCATTACCCGGTACTGATTTACGAGGCATGCCACACATCAATTCTAAAATTCGTGTTTGGAAGAAAGATTATGGCAGTCTTTCTTCAATGCTTTCCAGAAGTGGGATTGGTTGGAATGAGTCTGAAATGATGATTGAAGCATCTGATGAAGCATGGGACGATTATATAAAGGTCATTTTTTTGCTGTATAGATTATAAAGGTCATTTTAGATAATAAAGTATAAATTCAGTTATTTGTAACATGCTCAGACCTTTTTTCTTTCTTGTTTTTGTTTTTCCATAGGTGGATAGTAACGCACGTTTAATGCGTCATAAGAGTTGGCCTTACTACTACGACTGGATAGAGATATTTGGAAAAGATCGGGCAACCGGACAAGAGGCCGAGGACTTATTCGATGCAGTTAGCAACATTAACATTTCTGGACCAACTCATACATTTAGCCAACCTCAAGACACTCCTTATTTGAATTTGGATATGGATGAAGAGGTGAACGAGACAATGTCCGAGAGCAATCCACCATCCTCAGCTGGAACAAAAAAGAGTATCGGGCGTAAACGTAAATCAGGTGAAATGGCTGATCCTTTAGTTGAAGTAATGAAAAACTTTGCTGAGAACACAAATGCAAGACTAGGGGAAATTGCAAAAAGAATCGGGTATGACTACGATGTTTCAAGTGCTCGTAAAGACATCTATTCGATTGTTTGTGGTATTGAAGGATTAACTCTAAAAGAACGGCTTCTTGTGTCCAAAATATTGGTAAAAAACACCGACGAGTTAGATTTATTCTTCAGTCTTGGAAAAGAAGCTCAGGAAGAATATGTTCGGATGAAATTGGGTGGAAATATTTAGTTATGTATGACATACAAAACTTAGTACCTTACCTATTATTTTGGGATATGAAATGTTGGCCATTGTAAGGTTGATTATGTATTTATCTTTTGGATGACTTATCACGTTTAATTTGGGCTATGAACGGTGGCCACTGTACGGTTGATTATGTATTTGATGTTTTGGATGATATGTGACGTTTAATATGCTATGAATGTTGGAACCCACGAGGATCTCGATATGCACAAATCACAGACAAACATTCAACATAAACCTATGCGCAGCGGATCTAAAGGTTTGATGAAGAAAACTTACTGCTTAAAAATTATGTAGATCTGGCTGGCCCGGAC